ATATCCATACATAGCATTCTCTTTACCTTTGTAATATTGTAATTTTCTTAAGAATTCACCAATTGCTGAACGAGCCACTGTTAAAGGCCTTCTTGGATCCAAGGAAATGCAAAAATCAGATGCATCGTCCTCACCGACTACTTCATATGTGCGTACCATAGAGTCGTCAGCTTCAATCAAAACTCGCAGAATCGCATAACAAGCACAATAATGTGCTAGACACCATGATCCAATGTCATCAGCATTTTCTGCTGGAGAATAAAACCCAATGGAAGTTACAACTGAAGGAATCATTGACAACCAATTGATATAGACTACATCTGAGACATCGCCTTGAACACAGTCGGTAGTCAAACCGAACTGCTCCAGAACAAGAGGTAAGTCAGATAAATTAATTCCAACGCACTCAGCTCGACACTTATCTATTGCAGATGAAAGGTTTAAAAACTTGCTGTCATACGTTTCTCCTGGTTCATACCAACTTTTTACAGGACCTCCATTTATGACATATTCAGTAGTTTTCGTGTGGAAATTTCGTTTTCCATAACAATCACGCCGAAACAGTTTACCTGAACCATATCCCGTCAGTTCATGAAGTCCAACTTGTAATTCAAAGGAACTTTCAGCAAGTTCCACGTACATTTGTTTGTCTTCATTACGTAGAAATTCTGGTTTAGGATCTTCGAGACGAACACTAAGTACATTATTCAAAGAAACATTTTTAAATCCATCAACTTGTCGTACATCATCATAGTTAGGAATATTAGTTCTGACAGGAATTCCAGCAGTTGCAGTCACCACATCCAAACTAGTAAAGTCTGGCTGTAAGAAATTAACTTTTTCAAATGTAGAAGGCCATGATAAATTTGTTAACAACCTTTCAGCATTATTTACAAGTCGCTGGAATTTTTTAGACACTGATCTATTTACAACAGCGACAAATGATTCAAACTTTGCACGAACGCCAAAGGGATCACGGTATGACTCGATAAACCCAATATAGTTTACAACAACAGGGTTCTTATCTTTAACCCATAACCTGAAGGCATCTTTGTGAGTGGCTACTGAGCCAGTAGTGAAGCTTTCAGCATACTGATGCCACATTTCTGATTCAATTTGGTTAAGCGAATGTGCTTTAAAATCTTTACAACAATCGACTAGTAACTCCATCAGCTCACTATAGTCACCATATTCAAGCTGCAAAGATGTGTCCGAGGGAAGGGCATCTCTTAACTTCTCACGACGTTGACTCGGAGGGATTTGCAGGTCATGGTAACGTTGGGCTAACTGTCTTTGTTTTTCTTGGATAACAGGAGCGTCGAAATGACTTTCTGCAGCAAGCGTGTCAGCCTGGACTTTGAATGTATCTATACGTTCACAATGAGTAGCTACATCAGATTCAAGCAAGTTGTGCCGCTTTTGTACGTTCATCACACCGTTTAGATCACGAACGACATCCTCTGAGGCTATCTGAGCTTCAACATCATTCAACCATAACTCGACATCTTCTGTGTTGCGAGCGAACTGTTGTTGCCTACTTGCTTGATCTAAATCTTTCTTCTTGTCTCCCATGGCATTTACGAGATGAGACCAAGTTTCATCCAACTGTTCAATCTTTACTTTTATTTCTGGCGAGTTGTAGTGGTTTGCATTTAACAAATCCTGACCTGTCTTTTTAATATCTTCAACGCGGGATTGGTTCGCTTGTATTTCTGCCTCAAAACTCTGATGCTTCTGCACCTTTGTTTGCAAATTCGTGGAGTCTTTGTAACTTTCATCAACTGCATTTCATCTGCATCTCTATCGAACATTTGGTAACGGTGGGAATCTTCAAGACGCTGACGGAGGTTCTGAGCTTTCTCCTTTAATGCATTTCGTCTATTTTGAAGACCTTCCTGAATCTCATCAACCTGTGCAGCCGCATAGTGGTTTGATTCGATTAATTTTGCAGCGAATTCATCAAGTTGTCGCATCTTTTCTTCTTGTGCTAGAAGCGACTTTTCGAAGTCTTAATGTTTCCTTATCAGTGCTTCCACAGAATCGAGTGAGTCTCCCACATCTTTTATTTCTAGGAAGGCCTGTTGCTTACCAATCCAAGATTCCGACTGTTCAGCGTCGCGGTAAAAATACAGAAGGCCCATACACTGTTCTAGCTGTTCACGTCTTTCTTCACACAACTGCATCAGGGAGGCTCTCCCTCTTTCAAGGGTGGAAAGTTTAGCAGCTATGTCTCCACTACAGGGATGGCCAACTCTTTGTAATGCCTGACCTTCTTGCATGCATGTATCGAAACTGTCAGCTCGAAAATTTATCTCAGCGGTGTATTCCTTATGTCGCTCTACTTGGGCTTCAGCACCAGCTACATCCTTTGCCAAATCATCCGCCGATATTAACGTCTTCATGTCATTTATCCAGATGCTCAAGTCTCTCCAGTCAGCCAAAAAGCGATGCATCTTGAATGACTCTTCCAGTTTGCCTTCTCCTACCTATAGCCTGACTTTTCAGCTTATCCCATGCAGTGATTAAGGCATCATACTTGCCTTGTATAGTGTTTTGCGAATCAGGATGCTTCTGTGCAAGCGCCTTAGCATCATTTCCAAGTTGAACAATCTTTTTATCTGGGGCAGTCAAATCCCTTTCTAATGCTTCGTGCTTCCTTTGTAAGGCTTGGACTGAGGCAAGATCACGACCACAGTCCTCAATGGATAAAGGAATGAACTTTTCATTCACCAACGATATAGCTCCATCTATGTCTCTAAAGAAGCGCTGTATCTCATAGGCTTCCAGGAGCTTTTCTTGTCGTTTTCTAGCCAGATCCTTCAGACGTTCTATAGCTTCGCGGACTTGTCTGAACTTTTCTATGACTAGGGCATCCTCAGGAAATTTCTCTTTTAGAAGTTCATCTGCCTTCCGATAGATGTCTTCTGCACGACTTTCTTGATTCTCGAGATCTTTTGTAAACTCATTAAACCCTTTTTGAAGTGTCTCAGCATGTTACAAGTCTTGACCTAAATCCTCTGATGTTACGTAAGTTTCTTTTTCACGTATCCAGAAAAGTATCTCCTCGACTTGGCGTAAAAACTGGACAAATTTAAGCGTTAGGTTAATAAGACGTAATTTTTCTCTGAAAATAGCCATAAGCCTTTCCCACAGGGCATGCAGTTCATCAAGACGGTTTTTGATAATATCTGTTGCGTAGTGTCCCTGACCAATCATTTCTTCTCCCGCAGAATCCAGAGCTGACAGTGTTTCAGCATGAACTGTTACTTCGAACTCAAACTCCTGATGTTTCTGTTTTTTCAGATGAAGATTACTGAGTTCTTTAAAATCCTCATTTGCATATGTTTGCAGTTTTTTATTGATCCAACACTCAAGTTCATCGGCATCCTTCTTAAAATATTGATATCTTTCAAGCATGTCCATAAACTTAGATATGGCTATGGTGAACTCACCGTTAAGAGATATAGTGACTTTATGGGAAGTAGAAGGTTTGTAAGGCGATTTATTGTGACCAGAACATTCGCGACTACCTTGTCGTAATCTTTCTAATTCCATTTCTTTCTCTTTTTGGACTATGCGCAATTTCGCTAGCTCCAATTCTACCATACGGTGTGATTTATTCTCTTTGCTTCCAGGGAAATCAGCCTTATTACTCTTTTCTAACTGTGGAGTTAACGATGGCATAGTTTCATAACTTTCGTCTGCCATACTGTTCGAAACTTTGTAGGATTATTTTTGTCCTACAGATTTAGTCCTTTCTCAATATTTATATTTTTTTAATATTTTTGGTTACAGCTTGATGCCACCTTGTATTTTCAGTACAAGTATGGCATTTTCAGCATGGATATCGGTAGCCCAAATTTTGTAGACCGACCATAGATATCGGTTGTGCGTCAGCAGGGGATCGAACCTCGGATCATGTGCATGGTCGGCGAGAGTGCTAACCACTGTGCCACCGACGCACACTGTAATACTGACGACACAGAGTCTTGGCTTAGCTATAGTTAAAACAGAATGACTTGACTTAAACTTTATCTGTTTAAAAAACATAAAATAAATCATACAATTACACCAAGAAAAATGTACAAATCCACTGTCATTCAAAAAAGGACAAAAGCGTACCGAACAGTATTGAAGGAATGGACAAATGAACAGTTAATTAATTACATGTACATACAAATAAAGTGACAGACAACAAAGAACATTCAAGGTCACATCACGTGGTGAGAGTTACAATAAATTGACGAATAATCGCGACAAGAAGGTCACATCATATTGATTAGCTGTCTATCATATAGTCCATCTACCTGTCGTGATTAACAATATGTTCATAAAGCCAAGTTAAACTTTAGACACCAGTCACTTCCAATCAGCGAACGACGTCAAATTATCCAATGAGATTCACGGCTGAAATTATCCCGCATGCTCAAGGTCATTGATGGAGTGAGACGCTCAAAGGTCATTTTCGTCCATGTTAGTCGGTTATGTTGGATTGCAGTTCCGTAGCCGTTCGTTTACACATTGGTTTCACGTTCTGTTGGCATTTATAGGTGATTCCCATGTAGTGATAGCATTCTTTTGTAAAATAGTACTGTTCTTCACAGGAAAATAGCCACATTTTGACGTAGTCTTCATTGAATGACACTATGTCGAAAGCTGCACCTTCTACAAGAAATAAACTATTTGTGTAGATGACGTTACCTCCAACCACCCCATCTTCTTCATTGTAGAGATGTTTTGACGCATTCAGTATGAAACACTAATCATTACAACCAATATGCTAAGTGTGTCGCAGTCAGATTAAATGACGCGGACACCAACATAACTAGCCAGGAAATGAGAATTCTTATCAATCCAGAAAACATATAACAAAAATTTTATTAAAAATTATTGACCGAAGAAATTTGCCAAGCGAAATTTCAAACAACATGCCGGATAAGTCCAGCCAGATTCACGAATGTAGTTCAATGTTGTATAGCGCCTGATTCATTTCAATGCGTGCCCTTACAAGGTTACGTTTGCAAATCTAGGAGGATAGTGTCTTTCAGTATTGCTTGGACTTAGGCTTGCTTCGAAAGGAGAGGGAGGTATCATGACCTTAAAAAGCTATATTAGGTCAATTGATGGATTTGTCCATCGTTGTGGTATATGCTCCAAGCGTGTTAGCATTAGAGAGGGTAAGTTGATAATTTTAATATTTCGTAGGAACTTTTTTTGCAATGTCGCACCTCTCCTTGACGCAAATTTTATATATCTGCAACTACTGGGTATTAAAACAGCCAGTGAGAGCAGCAGCTGCGGAGACGGAGAACAGCCTCGTCTCAACAGTTCAATGGTACCAGTATTGCAGAGATATTGAATCCTGGAAAATCGAGAAGATCACTTCGTTGTTGGGTGGAGAAGACGTTATCATGCACTTGGATGAAACTGTGATGCTGAAAAAGAAATACAACCGTGGTCGCCAGCGAGCGAATAATATCTGGGTGATAGGTTTATACGATACTTCCTTACGAAAGGGATTCGTTGAAAGAATAGGAGATAGAAAGGCGACAACGTTAATACCTATTATAACGAGACCCATCAAACGGGGTTCAATTATACACACGGACGAGTGGAAAGGTTATAATTCGCCTTCATCTTTGGGATATGGTCATCACCGAGTGAACCATTCAAACGATTTTGTGGATCCAGTTGCCGGAACTCATACAAATTCTATTGAAGGATTTTGGGGCCGGTTGAAAAATCTGGTAAGGGCTATAAATGGATCCCGGAAGGATCTCATTTATAGTCATTTAGATGAATATATATAAACATATATATACAGAGTGTGGTGCGACTTTTCTATTGACAGTCCGTTGCTGAATTGGGAAATGTTTCTGTCCCATGTTCGTGAAAGATACCCGTTGTAATTGTTTTATCCTATTTTTTATGCATTTTTCTATAAATATACATTACCACTTATCATAAACGCCTCTTTCTTGTGATTGGTCCGTTCAAGGTCGTTTGCTGATTGGTTGTTACTGGTGTCTAAAGTTTAACTCCGCCGGATTTCATCATGAGCTGACAGCATTTGGAGAACCACTGGAAAACCTGGGAGGACTGGACAGCTGTTTCGTCCTAGTTTGTGACTCTGAGGATATATATATATATATCACCTGAGGTAATGGTGTAGTCAGTGGTGAAAGTCTGGAGATGTGATCTGTGGTTACTTCACATTTTTCATGATCCCCCTTGATTTTAACTGTGTAATGATATTGGGATATCAGTTTGACGTCTTATTCTTGAGGCTTATGTAAGTTTTAAGTTAAGTGCATGTTGAATTTTGGCTGTGATTGACGAATTCATTAAAACGCTTTGTTTTTAGCTGTGCAGTCTGCAGTTCTCTGTCATCTGAAGTCCCAAAAGTGATAAACAGGCTTCATCACTAAACTTGAATGTACACACATATTTCATTATGTTGTAGTGAAGTTGTGTCTACGCCCTCTACTACTCATTCAAGAAGAGAATAATTAACAGATGAAGCACTAACAAAGCCTTTAATTCTCAATCTAAGATCTGAAATTCTCTACTAATTACCCTCGTGTTTGCTCTGTTCATTTTTCCCGTGATCAGTTCTTTTCATCGGGAAATTAGTATGTACAAACTGGTTATATTGAAACTAATCTTAATTTGTTTTTTATCCTTTTCTACCTGAATTTCCTGTAGCTTCTCTTTCAATGCATGGGAATTAGTCAGCCTAGAATTTGACCAATTTCTAAATAAGCGATGATATTTGTGTTATCTTCGATAATTCACATGTCGAAGTTTACTAATCTGTCATACTTTTCCCACGCTATCTTCGTTGATCCGCTGACTTCGACATCTATTGGTCTTACCATTTTTCTTCTTATTAACAGGGAAATGTTGAAATCACAGAAGAAGGCATTAAATTACTTGGAAAATTGACGAAATCATTGAATTCTGCCAACACAACAAATGGTGGATGCCCCATAGCTGAAAGTCCAATGAAAGAAAACATTTCAACGCCACATGATGGTAAAAGCAATACATCTAAGAAAAGGAAACGTGTAGCTACTCCTTCTCCTGAGAGAGTTAAACAACCCAGTCGAACTTCATTAAAGGGAACGAAGCACAATTGTGAAGGAGATGAACATTCTTCTCAATCTGGTATTACCGTTGGTACTTCTTCATCAGTGCATATTCCTCCCTTTCATACTGAACAGCCGATAACATCTGTAAAACAACCCACCAGTGTCAGGTTTCTCGATGCTTTTGAATATGGGGAGGAATGGCTTCCTGGCTTGTTGAAACCAACGAACTTGAAGAACTTCATCAGGTGAATTTGTTATTTCGGTTATATATTTCTAGAAATGCTTTTCATGGCTCACCACGCCAGGTTTCTGACCCATATTTAATATAAAGCGGCTTACTTAACAGTGGTGTTAGACAGAATCCGAATTTCGTTCTTTATACTGTGGAGTGCAGCTGATTTCAGAGTTATGAATTCTGCCTTGCCTTTACGATTCTTGTTTTGATATCCTCGTCCATCCTTTCTACTATAGTTGACACGATGCTGCCTAGATAAGTGAAAAAGAGGCCTCTTTCAAATTTCTTCCGTTGACAGTGATTAATGGTTGTTATTATTGTTGTTGGTTATCGGGTATTTTCATCACTTCCATTTTCTCTGTGCTCACTTGAAGTGTTGTCTCGTGAATCTGAATAGCTCAGTGGTAATGTCTCTGACTGCAGCACTCCACTGAGCGACCTGGCTTGTTGAAGTCTCCCAGAGGTGACGTCGTTAGTTCTTTCAAGATTCCAGATGCGCCTTTCTGGCTGGCGTTAATGCCAACAAGTAAGAAAGCTAGGTCCACACAGAGATTCCTGCCTATTACCTTCAACCATGTAAACCAACAATTCAAAGTGCGACATAGTAGCTAGCCACCTAGTTTGATGGATGTCGAAGGCTGGATTCATGACGCTAAATACCATCTTGTGTCTAGTCGTATTATGTTGTGAATGATCTTGCGTAATCGAAAGAGCTGACAACTAATTCGTTCATAGTGATGAATAATCATTTGGAAATGCTTATTGATAAAGAACAAGGAGGAACAAATACACTAAGAATGGCCAGCATGGAGTTTATTATAGAACAAAGTCGTAAAGCTGGTGAAAAGTGGGATGGGTATGTAATCAACAGCAATCGGTGAGATGTTTCCTCCACTCATATGACGAGGATGCTGTATCCCCATTGTGACGATGGGGGGTCACTGGATCAGATTGGAAGAGAGATAGCGATGGCCAAACAAAAACATGGCATCAGTCCATAAAATCTTTCAAAGTTAGTTTGAGATAATGACTTGCCGATCACCATCGCGTACCTCATTAGATCCGTTGACGATACAGTTGGCATATGGATGATTTGAAACAGCCACAAAGAGATGCAAAGTTAACTTTCTGTGAGAAACAACCAATCAAAAGACTGTATTTTCTACTAACAATAATGTACATTAAAATCTATAAATATGTGTTGATTTTCCTTAATAAGCGATCTGTTGCCCGGCCCTTGTCTTCTGTTGTTACAGTAATAATAATCGTAATAATAATAACCGTAAATTCGTTTGCTATTGATTATTAAGCAAAATTCACCCAATAGCATATGATAACTGTGGGACAAATTACACTAGACTAAACCTAAGTTCTGCGACACTCAGTGAGTAATGAAAAGTCTTTCAATGTATATATGTGTAAAATTTGAATTGAGAATGAGGTCAACGCATTTTAAGACAACTGATACGATAACGGTCTCCTAGGCTGTAAGCGCTTCCCCTAATTTCCAAATCATTTAAGGCGGAGAAATTTGCGAAACCTTCTCCATTCTCATTTATTTCACCGCATGCCACGATTGTTAGTGGCTGTCTGTTTTCGACATAGAACTTTGGACATATGTGCGGCAGTTCAAGTCGCCACACTCCATGTAGCACACAAAGCAAGAGAAGAAATTAGGAGAAATGCATAATAAAGACAGTAAACAGAGGTGTGAGGCAAAGGTATAGTATAATGAAGAACACAACAGTTTCATTGGAAATCATAAGTCACAAGGAGTGGATGCATCTGCGCCATTGAGAACGATTTTGAGGCATGTCACCAATTGTTTCCAACCATTGGTTTTTACCATCCCGAGGACCTCAACCAGGAAGTCTACACCTTCCTACGTGGCTCAGACTAACTGTTGTGGAATTCATTGACTGGTGCCATGTTTCAGTTTGACTGCCGCTAGCTCTTTTCCAGCCTGACCCTATATCAGCTAAAATTGCCCGTCGAGGAAGGCGATGACTAGGCATACGTAGCACATGTCCTAGCCATCTCAGTCCATGTAGCTACTTCACAGCCTTGTCAACTGATTTCCCCTCCTTACCTAGCACTCGACGCCTAACCTCAATATTGCTCACCTTATTATACCACTTCACGCGGGAGATGGAACGCAGACACCTATGATCAAAGACAGCTAATCTTTTCATGTCCTCCGCTCTCAATGGCCAGGTCTCACAGCCATAAAGGAGGACGAAGCGGAATGCTGAGCAGTACACACACCCTATGGTCGAGAGTCTAGAATCTGTCGGAGAGTGAAGATATGATCGATACACCCGCTTCCTGGCCTAAAGCCTGGCTGGTTTTCTCGTGTTTGTGCCTCCCGAGCACCATTTAGTCTACGCATGATTATTGAGCCTAGGACTTTAGATACTATATTAGTCAAGCTAATCCCTCTGTGATTATCACAGGAAGAATAGTCTCCCTTCTTGTATATCGGGATAATCAGTGACTTACACCAACCCGATGGGACTTCCTCTGATTCCCAGACGCTGCCTAGCACCTCAGTTAATGCAGACAGTAAACTGTCTCCACCGTACTTAAATACCTCTGGAGTTATTCCATCAGGTCCCGCTGCTTTGCCTTGCTTCAGATTAGTGACAGCTTAAGTAACCTCAGTTAAGGACGGAGGACCTGTGCCTATATCCCATTCAGTTTACAGTTTACAATTTATTTAGGATAGTAGGCTATATGCCTGTGTTAATCCTTTCGATTTGTTACACACAGGAGGTCCAATCTCGCCTTGAATGAATCAACGGATGGCGCTGATACGACGTGTTCCGGTAGGGAGTTCCAATGGTTCACAATCCGATGCGAAAAACGGATCTCCAGACGCAGACGATTCGACCGTGGCTTTTGAACCTTGAGGTGATGTCCTCGCAATTGATTGGTGCTAGAAGGAAGAAATAAATTAGATAAATTTGCTCCAAAATCATTTCTTAGGATACGGTATGCTAGTATTAGGTCACTCCTAAGTCGTCTGTATGACAGTGGAAATAAACCCAGTCGACTTAACCTCTCCTCATATGAGAGGGTTGAGAAACCCTTTATTAGCTTAGTTCCTACGCTTTGCACCCTTTCTAATAAGTCTATTTCGTATTTGAAACACGGGCTCGCTGCCTGGATCCCATATTCCAAATGAGGTCTGATATAAGTCGGATATAATATACGAAATATTTCAGCGTCAAAATTTGCAAAAGCTTTGCGTATGGCCCATAATATTCGAAAACCCTTAGTGGCTGCAGCTCTACAGTTTGTTGCTGTTTTCAAGTCATGCTGCACAACCACTCCCAAGTCCTTGTACTCAGTGACCACTGGGAGAGTAATGCCATTCATTGAGTAATTGTGCACGTGACTATGAGATACATGCATAACTACACTCTTGCTTAAGTTAATCTCCAAGGCCCAGTGCTTACACCAATCACTTAACAAGTTTAAATCTTCCTGCAAAGGAAGTTGATCACTGTCATCGTGTAAGGCCCTCCATATCTTGATGTCATCAGCAAACAGTAAGCAGGATGACCTAAGTACCGATGGAATCTCATTAACATAAATCAGGAAAAGAAGTGGGCCTAGAATTGTACCCTGAGGAACGCCACTTTTAACTGATTCCCATGTTGATAAAACCCCGTTAACTCGTACTCTTTGTCTTCTATCCTTTAGAAAGTCTTGAATCCAGTCGGCAACCACTTTATTGATTCCCATACTGCCTAACTTTACTAGAAGACCTGAATGAGAAACCCTGTCAAACGCCTTGCTAAGGTCGATGAATATGGCATCCACCGGTATATTAGCATCAGCTGAGGTGTTGAATGTTTGGCAGGTTAAGCG